CCTAGTAAACTATGCATGCAGGGCCTCTGCCTAGCGCACCTCTCCCTGGTGCCCCATGTCCATAAATCCAGTCCCATTGTTCATGAGGTAGCGTCTGCAACATTATATTGGAGATGGGAGGAGGGAGAACTGGATAGTTTGCATTGCAAAATGGATTACAAATGAAGGAGTGGCTTGCTGAGCAAGCTGTTGTGCTCCTCAGATGTCCTAAGTAAAAGTTGGATTATGCCTGGAATAAGACCAAGTGGTCTAGATTGAACAACTTCACATTGCACCCAGTACCTCCCTCCCTCCCTCCCTCCCTCCCTCTCACTTTTAATGTTCCTATATGGAAGTGAATGTACTTGATCCCTTAATTCCCACACTACTGTAGAGAGCAGAAGTTTCCCTTAAAATCTGCCCTTTGCCAAATGTGGCTGTGCGGTTCTTTGCTCAAAAAAGAAAAGAAAAAAAGGACTCAGATAAAATACGGTTACAAATATGTATTTTCTGAGAAAGCATGCATACCGATAAGTAGACAAAAACGTTGTGGCACCTGCTATATTTTGATGTGAAGACTAACTGCTATATTTTAATGTGAGCCCGGTCATTAATCTGTCTGAGGAAGTGGACTTGATCCACGAAAGCTCACCTTAAAATATAGCAGTTAGTCTTTAAGGTGCCACAACGTTTTTGTCTTCTCTATTTTTTGTTTCTGTTTTGTTTTCGCCTGACACGCTAGCACAGACTGACGCGGTGACCTTTTCTAAAACATGTAAGATATGCTGTTTAAATGCACATATAATTTTTGGGCAGGATATTTTTTTTAAAAAAAACTACAGATTAATGACAGAATAGATTCACAAATGAACCCATGCAACAGTCCAATGAACTGAGAAGAGACGGATCCATCCTTCTGTTAAAGGGGTGGTGATGGCAGTTCTTGCACATAGAAGAAGGGCACCTTAGTTGAAAGTGGCACTCATTCTTCCTGCACTAGTTTTCTGCGTTTGTCTTGCCCCCTGAGCAGTGTAGTGTGAAACATGCAATGGATGCAGCATGATGGGGAAAGTCCTCCATTTGTCAGTAGCTGATAGTAGAGCCTGATTATGTCAATGCAGCTTAAAGGAATTTTCTACTTATCTCTTGCTTGTTGGTGAGTAACCATGAAAGATAGAAAGCTGGTTGTGAATGGATTTGTCACATCCTAAACATTAAACGGAGCCAGTGTGGTATAGTAGGTAGACAGTTGGATTAGGACTCAGGAGACCTGGTTTCAAATCCCTGGGGACAATATTGATAAGATCACTCGTTGGACATCTCACAAACTTTGAAAATCATATTAGGGTCACCATATGTTGGATGTAATTTAATGGTACTTGACACGTAAATGTTAAATAACTTAGAAGCCATGAGGGTGGACTGTCTTATCCTCCCATATTGATCTTCCTGTATTTTTTTTCTTTGCTGAATCAGCACAGCTTTCGTTGAACAATTTGCTGTTCTATCGGTGATGTAGGTCTATTGCCACCACAGCCAATTTTTCCATAAAGATCTATAGATTTTTTTAAAAATGGCTTCTTTCCACATTCATTGTAAACTGGGCAACAAATGTAGCACATACAGAATCATGCAACAGAATTAGAGATGGGAACGAATCGCGACTCATCCTGCTTCGTGATCCATCAAAGTTGACAAAACACAAAGCACAAAGTCCCTCCCCATGAACTGACAAAGGATGGTTCATGAACCCCCCCAGCCCCACAGCCTGTTCCCTGCCCCAGTTGCTTCTCTACTTCGGTGGTGGCTCCCCAACCACCACCCCACCGATGCAGTCTCCAGCTGGCCTCTGCCGCTATGTCCTGCAGTAAGGGACAATGGCTGCTCTTGAGGCAGGCTAAGGGAATCCAGGCTGCCCTTTTCAAAGATGGCAGCTGCAGCTTCCCTACCCTAAATAAACCCGCAGCCACCATCTTTGCAAAGAGCAGCCGGTGTCCCTTACTGCAGGCCATAGCTGCGGAGGCCACCGCAACGGGTGAAGACAAGTCTGTTCTTCTTTCTTCTGTTCAATTTTCGTTTAGTATCAGCTGTATGAAAGACATCCATTCTATTCTAGACCAGGAAAAAACATAGTTATTATTACATAACTTGCCTCTGACTTACGGCGACTCTAACAGGGTTTTCAAGGTATGTGAGATACTTGACTGGTTTTACCAGTCCTACCCTGCCAGGTGAAACCCGCAGTGAGTTTCCATGACTGAGTCGTGATTTAAACCCATAATCCATCACTCTGTCCGGTGCCTCATCCTGGTTCTCAAAACCTTAGAGGTTCAAAGGTTGAAAAATTAGAAGTGGTATTTGGGCTTGTGGGGAAATCAAGTGCCTTTGCTAAAAACAGCAAGCAGCTACTGATAGGTTAATAAGTTGTAGCATGGACAACCTCACCCTTACCCATCATGGGTCCATGAATAACATTAGCAGAAATCGCAAAGTAAATCTACCCAGCTATTCTTTCCAGCACTTTCACCTGCAGAAGGGAGCTAAATGTGGGCGAAGAGCTCCATTTGTTGTGACTCGTGACAGTTGCTGGGTAGTGTTATTGCTCTAATCTCCATTCCACATCCCTGCACCTTGGGAAACTAAGTGCCTGATCAATTTGTCCGTACAGATTCTGTCAGGCCGTTAATGTTCCTCTCGGTCCCTCCTTCCTCTCTTTCTGATGGATACATTAAGTTTTTCCCTAATCTGGATTGGATCTTGCTGTCATAGGCAGGGGTCAGGGGATGCTGTCTAATGAGACTTTCAAGGAGAACAATTTTCCTAGTTTCCTATCAGATGGCCAATAATGTGATACACTGACAGCCTCACTTCTCCCCATGACAAGAGAGAGAGAGAGAGAATGACAGAGAGAGAAAGAGAGAAGCTACTCTCTCCTTACATTGAATATCAGTATCATGAAGTCTACAGATTTAAAGTAGCTGTTCAAGTACTAATTTGCCAATTTCTGTTAAGGCCTCCGTAACGATTTTCTCCTCTACATGTCCGTGATATTAACAAAATCTAAATATTAGCACTCTTAAACTGCAGGATCAGTATTCCTATCTTAGGTGGCTTTTGGCAAATGTGGTCCAATTTACCTGATGTTTCGTTAATAAGAGTTAATGATTAAAATATGGTCTCATGAATCTCTAAAATTTTGGTGCTCAGTCAAAATGTGGACAAAGTGAATGCCTGCTGCCATCAACTGGAAACCCTACGGAAAGAAAGAGTTTTCCTGCCTAAAGCATGCAGCCCTCCCTACTCCAGTCACTCAAGAGGATCTGAAGCCAAGCTAATTATTTTGGCACTTGATTTAGAGGTTATAAAATGCAGCTCTTCCTGTCCCTGAGCATAAAGACCAAGAAATAGCATTTTTCTTCATAACAGCTGATGTCTGCTTTGGGCCCAAGATATATTGTCGGAATCAACAGTGGTAGGATTTCCTCCAAGATTTGAAACAAGAAGTATAGAAAGAAAGAGGATAGCTGGTATTCGGACTTAGCTGGGCCTGCAGAAAGTGGTTGCCATCAGAGCAGGATTTTTTTGGGGGGGGCAGAAATCTGAAGCCCCATTGAACAGTAGGAAGTAGGCCCCTAAATGCAGCAGGGCTGGCTTATTACAAAGCAGGAAGATATTTTTGCTTTGAAAGGTGACATATTTGTAAGAACCTTAGTGATGGCTAAGTTATAATGAGAGCAGATGAGCACGAACCATAAAAATGGTGGTTTGCAGTTTGTGAATACCCACGAATTACGAGCCATCTGAACTTTTAAAAAACAAACAAACCATGAAGTGATTTTTTTTTAAAAAAAGTTCATGCCCGGGGGATGCCCAGTTCATGCCCCCACAGCCTGCTCCCTGCCCTCTTCCAACTGCCCTATTGCCTCTCTATCTGACCCTGCTGCCTCCTCTTCCTCCTCCATCATCGTTCCAGCTGTAAATGGGCGACCCACCCCTCCCTTTTTATGGGGGGGGAAATTGTTTTTAATAGGGACTTGGGACCAAAGATTCGGACTCAGACTTGGGACTTCAGCCTGCAAAGACTCGCTAACAACCCTGAGAAGAAATA